AAAAACAGTTTATAGAAAATAATTGAATTAATTATAGAATTTAATAACAGCAAAGATGTCACGACTTTTTATTCTGATTGTATTCTGGTTAATCGTCTATGTAGTGAAGATTTTGTGATTATATATTTACGCTGTTTTGTGCAATGCTTAATAAAAATGAAATTACAAAATATTAATGAGTAATAACAATTTGGGGAAAATACATATATATATATATATTTTTAAATATATTTCAAAAAATCTGTTTCAAAATATATTTACGTGAATATATATATATATATTTTTAATATATTTAAAAAAATCTGTTTCAAAATATATTTACGTGAATATATATATATATATAATTATTTATTTTTATTTTAACAGATATTTAAATATATTATATAAATATATTTTAAAACATTTAAAAATATATGTTGCCCTTATATTTAAATAAAAATGTCACCTTTGATGAAAAACATTATTTGTTGTCTATAACACGTGTGAATAAAAATCAGCAAGGAACAAATAATAATAATAATAATGACACATTTCGAAGTTTTGGTATGAAGGTTGAAACCAAATATATTTTCTGTTTCAAAAATATATTTCACTGAACGTATATTTAAAATATATTAGATTTTGCAGTATGGCTTCACCAGAACATGCAGATAGGCCTATTTCGGATTTATTGAATTGAATGTATTGATTGGTCAGTAATAATATAACATACGAGGACATTAAATGCACGCATCTCTGAGTCGAAGTGAAGCTGGATTCAGTGGACTGTACTGAAGCAGACACAGATCGGCTCATCAGGAGCGCATTGATCTGATTGAAGCATAATTCCGCCTTTATCAGCAGATGAAGCTATTTCACATGAAAGACTGATCTGGGAACAGCTAATATTTGCGCTTTGCCAATCATTGCAGTTAATTGATCTGCTGTCAGTCGTGGCGCCTCGTGTCGGGATCACTCTGCACAAACTCCATCACACTCACACTGTAAGGAGAAAATAATGGCCTTGAGCCGCAGAGAAGCGTTCCTGACACGGACTTCTCCGGCTGCTCGATTCAGCACATCAATAATCACGAACTTTCATCTTTTCCTCATTACTCAGAGAACAGACACAGCTTCGTTCAAGCCCAGCTCTTCAGTTCTCCAGTAGCACGTCATTTACAGTCATTTGATAAGAAAAGTCCAATCTGATCACTTCTTATCGGAGTCGTTCGGCGCTATTGATCACGGTTAGTTTCCATTAGCAGCTGATTAGAGTCCAATACAAGACAGTGATCAGTCAAACGAGGAGGAAACAGATGATGATGTGTGACAGGAACACTGCTGCTTTCCTCATGATTTACAGCATTTCAAACTGCTGACAGAACGGAAGCCACACACACACACACACACACACACACACAGTGAGTGTATATACACACACACACACAGTGAGTACACACACACACACACACACACACACACACACACTCACTCACACACACACACACACACACACAGTGAGTACACACACACACACACACACACACACACACACTCAAAAGTGTGTATGTATTCTTCACCAAAGGAGTACATACTTTAAGGGTGTAGTATAAGTAGAAACATTGGGACGCAGCGCCACGCGTTGTGTTTCACTAATAAGTGTCCGCCCCTTGAATCTCGCCTCTGGTTGGTGAGAAAGTAGTTCCGCCCCCGGTCGCCATGTATCGCTCCGCGCGGAACCTGCAGCTCTTCAGCGCGGCTCTGTCGAACCCGAGATCCAGCATCCTCCGGAACATCTGCCCTGCGCCGGGACTCCCGCACAGCCCGCTCAGAATGGTAGAATCGCGCTGTTTCTGCGGTGTTTAGAGAGCTGTGAGCCAGTGAATGACCTTCACGTTCAATGCACAGAAATCAGAATTATTGCATTCATACATGCATTTCAAAACCTTAGAAATGTGCATTTGTGCTTGCATAGAGCTGGCTTGTTTTTCAGAGAGGGGTGAAAGTGTGAATTATAGTGAGTGAGAAACATGAGCAGGAGTTGCTGATCAGTTTTAATGATGAGAATCATAATCATATATCAGAAACACGAGCAGGCAAAGGTTTTTGCACGGTAAGATTTGTAATGTGTTTTTAAAGAAGTCATAATTATACTGATTTCTGAAGATCATGTGACACTGAAGACTGGAGGAATGATGCTGGAAATACAGCTGCGCATCACAGAAATAAATTATATTCTAACAGATATTCACTTAGAAAACAGCTGTTTTAAATAGTAAAAATATTTCACAATTTTACTGTATTTTGAATCAAATAAAGGCAGCCCTGCTGAGCAGAAGAGACTCTTTAAAAACCGTATGTTTTGTGGTTTCAGGCCAGCTCAGAGTCGTTCAGGATCGAGAGGGACACGTTCGGGGAGCTCAGAGTCCCTTCTGATAAATATTATGGAGCTCAGACGGTCCGATCAACCATGAACTTCAAGATCGGAGGAGCCTCAGAGAGAATGCCAGTGAGAAACACACAAACATGTTTGATTATGGTCTGTGTGATCCGTCAACGCTTCCTCTTCCTGTAGATTCAGGTCATCAAGGCCTTCGGGATCCTGAAGAAAGCTGCTGCAGAAGTGAATAAAGATTACGGTTTGGACACGAAGATTGCAGACGCCGTCATACTAGCTGCTGATGAGGTGATCTATCTCTCGTGGCAGTCATACAGCACTACTGTATGAACATTAGTGTTACTGTAAATGATCCAGGGTTGTTATAGTGAACTATATATTTGGGCTTGATTCGACTGAGTTAGCGGTGTTCTGTGTTCTGTGTTTGACTCCGGATGTGTCTGCTGTGTTTCTGTTCCCAGGTGGCTGCTGGGAAGCTGGATGATCATTTCCCGCTGGTGGTTTGGCAAACAGGATCCGGAACGCAGACTAACATGAACGTCAATGAGGTGATCAGTAACAGAGCCATCGAGATTCTCGGAGGAAGACTGGGCAGCAAAGACCCTGTTCACCCCAACGACCAACACACACACCAGCACTAATCCATAGATCCATATGGGTGGCATGAGTCAAATCTTAAATTGAGTAACTTTTGAGTAATATAAATTTGAGATGCAATACATGTACTCATTCCATGATATACATGATGACATTTTTTTTATTATTTGTTAATTTATATTATATTTAAATTTTTTACAATTTATTTTATAATATAATGTAATGATTGATATTATTATAATGTAATATTATAATAATATATTTAAATTCATTTATTTTTATATTTTTGTTTTTTATTTTATTATTTTATTATCTTATAATGTTTTTTTACATTTAAAATTAAACAATATTTCTTTTGTTTTATATTTATTTATTCATATTTGTTGTCTCGCAAGTAATTATTTTTGATGGAAATTAAATTAATAATATATAATCTTTATTTCTAATAGTTTTATTTGTTTAAATGTTTATTTTTCATTGCATATAAATTAATTTTATATTTATTCATTTATTTTATAATCTCACGAGTAGTTATTATTTATGGAAATTGAAATAAGAATATATTAAACACCATGAGGTAATGCCTATTTTTGTGTAATCCACTGAATTAAATACTTCACAAATGAATGGTGCTTCTTTCACCCATTAATACCAATAAATAATAAATAACAAACACCCTTAATACCAAATTATTTCTTGTCTTGTTTGGTTCACATCCTGCTCTGTGTTTTCACATGAATCTATGTTTCTTAATTTCTCTCGTGTGTAAATAATGTAAATCAATCATGCACACTGATGTGCAGATATTTCTCTCCGTGTTAAACCTTTCAAACAGCATGCACATAATTTCTTTAATATCCAGACTAGCTAAAAATCAACCTGCTACATAGGTAATATCTGCACAGTGAACTCAGCGGTTAGGTTATGCAAAGCTAATGTTTGTCTGGTGTGTTTGCTGCAGAGCTCTAATGACACGTTCCCCACTGCCATGCACATCGCTGCTGCTAAAGAGGTGCATGAGGTTCTTCTGCCGGGTCTTCAGACGCTGCATGACGCTCTCGCTGCTAAAGCTGAACAGTTCAAAGACATCATAAAGATCGGCCGCACGCACACGCAGGACGCCGTGCCGCTCTCTCTCGGACAGGTACAGCAGCACGCTAAACAGAGTCAGAACTCATTTGATTAATCGCGTCTGAAACACTCCTTTAAAGACCCAATGCAGTGTAAGTCACTT